CCTCAGTCCACACGCGCATTCGCACAAGTAGAGCTATGGTCCAGCTGTGGTTGCAGTTGCACGGTTCGTTACTTGCGCGTTCAGGTTGCCGCGAAGCTGGGACGGCAAAGCGCAGCGGTTGTTGCTTTTTCGGTTTCCTTTGTTGCGACAGTTGCCATTGCTAGTGTATGCCTTTTGCTACTGGCCACTGACGTGCAAGATGGGAAGCGCAACGGCAGTGTCGGCGGTGTGGCAGTTTCTTTCGACACGTACTTGGAGAAAGGAGCTACTGAGAAACCCTCGCAACACGGGTTTCCCGCAGATGTAGATGGCGCGTGCCATGTTCTAGTTGTTGGCCGATGATGAATCTGGAAGCTCCGTCTGCATTTTCGCCTGACGTGCCTTGGCAAGTCGCAGTGGAGCTGGCTCAGCGTCTGCACTCTTGCCAATTACAGCGCGGTGCTCCTTCATTGGCCGTGCGCAGGCACCTCGACTGCCGGCTCGCGGGCTGGTCTAGGAGCGCTGGGCCAAATTATCCAGACACGTCTGCAGAGAACCTTGCCGATTGTCGAGGCTGATTGGCAGGTCGACCCTGCCAGATCAATGGTGCCCTTGTGTCGTGTGCTTCGCGCCCCATGCTGCCACTTTTGCTGATGATGGGCAGTGGCAGGCTCTCCTGCCTCTCCCCCGCCGCCGCTCTGGCTCCTGCAGGGGCCTCTGACCGCGTCGGGAGGGGGCCCCTGTGGCCTTGCGCGCGCTTGCGAGGGAAAAGGACCTCGACTCCAACAACAGTCGGAGGGCAAGGCGGCCCTCGGAAGAGTCTTGTGTCCCCTCGCGTGTCGTCTCCAATCCACCCCAGCTGTGCCCCCCTGGCCCGCGCCCGGCGGCGTGCGGGGCAGCGCGGACGCCGCCTGCAAAACGCCGCGCCGCTCGTCCAGGGACGGCCTCCAGGGTGATCGTGTTTTGTTCTCCATTGTCTTGCCAATCGGCGCGGGCCCCCTTCCCCCTCCCCCCCCCCTGGAGTAGATCTTGGCCGCTTTTTGGGAGCCTAGTTCGAGCGGGTGGAGTCTCCCCCACGATGGACGCCCTGTTCCAAGCAGCCGCACGAAGCAGAGGTCCAGAGCCAGACCCCCCCCCTTGCCCCCCCTTCCGCCCAATGTCGACGCGCCGAATAAGCAAGCGCTCACCAGGCCGACGACGGGCGGGCCCAGGCTGAGGATACGTTCCTCCAGAGCTTCCGGAACGCTCTCGAGGCGCTCCGCGGGATTCTGTCGCGGCTGCGGCACCCGACACCTCCTTCAGAGCCGGCGGCTCTCGGCTATCCTCGCGCCATCTCAGCCCGGTTTGGGCCCGGCCCTGGCCTCGTCTGGGCCGCGCCACCCGCCCTGGGACGGCCTCCTGGCCGACGGAGCGTTTCTTGCGCTCGTGCGCTCGTGGCTACTCTATAGCTCAGCCCACTTTGAGCCCCAAGCGGCCTCAGAGGCTCCGACTGCTTCCCCAGGGGCAGTTTCTCGTCCCGGATCCGTGTGTTCATGGCCGTGGGTACCGGAAGCGGACCCTGGGGGCCGAGGTCGAGGACACACCTACGGCCGAAAGCAGAACATCGTCGGAGGTCCGGCCTGCTTTCGCTCGCTCGTTCGCGCGCAGCCGCCTTCTGGCTCAGCGCACTCTGATCTGCACCGCCCAAGCATACCATTGCCGTGCATCCTGCACGCCAGGGCCGACCGCCGGGGCAGAGAGCACACCGGAAGACGCGCAGCCAAGACCACTCTTCAGCACCCTCCACAGAAGAGGAGTGAGCTGCCCACGTCCTCGTCCGTCTCCTCCTCCTCCTCCTCCTCCTCCTCCTCCTTCTCCTCCGTAACCATTTGGCTCAAGCCATTCTGGCTCAAACCATTGTGGCTCAAGCCATTTTGGCTCAAGCCGTGAGGCCAGGCTCGAGGGCCTTTTCCGGTACACTCACCCTTCTTGGCGGGAGCTTCATGACCCCGTCGAGTTTTGGCACTCGCCAAGCGTTCACTTCCTCGTGGCACGGACACGCTATCTCGCTTGCTGTGCTTGTGGCGTGGACAGTTGGACTTATACAACTAATAAAGCACAGTTTTGTAGCCTCTGTGGACTCGCATTCCCCGGCCGTGGGAAAGCCCCCCTCGCAGAGGTGGGAAGCAAGGAGGATGGAAGCAGGGAGGAGGACGACAGCAGGATAATCAGTAGCAGCATCAGGGCGGACATCAAAATGGACATTGGAATGCCCATCGTCGTCAGCCTCCTGCCCCACGCGAGTATCCTGAGGAATGGCAGGGTCCCTAGTATGACAGGGAGAACGCGCATCACGAGGAGGAGGAGGAAGATGAAGGAGACGACGATCCTGCAGCAGGGGCCCCTGACGCAGACGATCTACATCATTTGGAAACCCTTTTTCTGTACACTCGTTACGCCCAGACCCTCCACAACCTCTCTAATAAGGTCCCCGTAGCTAAGGAACTCCAGCAAGTTCGGCGTGGTATTGAAATTGCCAAGGCCCAGAGGGATAAAATTGTTATCTCCAGCCCCCTGTCAAAGTCAGATCGACGGTCACATCAGGTGGACGTCGACAGAAGTTGAGCGCACTGGCGCAACGATCGACTCGATTTTACACGCAGGTCGAGGGGTTGTTGGTTCGACAAGATAAGCTGGCTGCTCGGAAGAATACCAAGCATTTTTTTTGGGTGGACGGCAAAGGGTGGAATCTGAAATGCAGTTTCGATTGATTTTCGAGGCTTGAATCTGCAAAAGGTGAATCACAAGACGGATTGGTTTTCGAGGTGCAAGAGCCCATATGGATTTCACCTTGAGCCCTCCACCCCCAAGAAAATGCTCAGGAACGAGCTCCTCGACGCCCTGGACACTTGGCACGCCAAGCGAGACGCCCTGGAGGCGTCCGGCCCAGGATGTGCAGGTGCTGACGACCCCATTTGCTGATGCTGTATCGGCTCTGGCAGCGGCCATTCCTCAGGATTTGCTTCGCATGCCCCATATCGGAGGTTGAAAGACCTCCTACCCTGACACGTCGATTGGCGAATTGGCCGTTTTCGGTTCGCGAGAGGCCGTCGCGGCCGTCATTCTTGCGGGTCCAGGTCCGTCGGTTTCGGTCCTAGGCCGTTTTCACTAAAGGGTTTTTTACTGAAGGGAGGTTTGTCCACCGCCGACCACGTCGTTGATGCAGTGGCAACTCTTCAGGGCACCACTTCGGTATCGGCGGCTACGGATGAGGATAAGACAGGATGGGCAGGAGTCGAGAGGAGGGACGGAGGACTGGCACGACCAACGTGACGATGATGACATGGGCGACGGTTCGGAGGTGGACGACGACGACGACGACGACGACGACGGCCATGCCAGAGATTGGGATCGGTGCCTCCTCCTAGTCCTCTTTGTCCTCCTCCTCCTCCTCCTCCTCCTCCTCCTCCTCCTCCCCCTTCTCTTCCTCCTCCTACTCCTCCTCCTCCTCCTCCTCCTCCTCCTTCTCCTCCTCCGCCTCCCCCTCCTTGCCTCCTCCTCCTCCAGCTCGTCCTCCTTGCCCCCACCCCCCCCTCTCCTCACATGAGTTTGCCTTCTCCTTCTATCCCCCCGTCTCCGTTTCCCCCGTTTGGTGATCCTCCCTTCCCTCCCTCCACGGAGAACGGCCCACATCTCCTGGGTTCCACTGCGTGGCCCCCCACCTCCCTGGTCAGGGGGACTCCTGGGCATCGCTGCTGGGTGGGCCCGGTGGGGCTGCGCGGGGCCCGATGGATCCGCCGGAGGCCGATGCCGCACTCCCCGTGGAGGCAGAGCCCGGGGGGCCGCGAGCGTGCACACGCGGCCACTGCCCCGTGTGCAGGACCCGCCGCCGTGCCTGTACCCGTCGGTCGTTGAAATCGGGCGACGAAATCTATACATATCCACTGCTCCCTGGCCAGGCTTATCCTGAACCCAGGAGATGTGTATACGCCCTCCTGGCCAAGCCAGGAGGGTGTGGCGTATACACCGTTGCTGGGTCCAGGATGGGCCTGGCCAGGGAGCACTGGATATGTATAGACTTCGTCGCCCCATGAAAGTAGGCATTTCTGGATTCCCAGATTCCAATCTGCTTTTGGCGCCTTCCTACTTCAAGGATCGACTGGCTTCGTGCTTCCCTCCTCCTCGGGGAGCGGGCGGAGGCCCGATCTGCCTCGAGTGCCTTCCTGCTTCACATGGTTCTGCCTGCTTCGTCCGACCGATGGGTACAGCAGTGGGATGCAATGGGGCGTTAGAATCATGATGCTCCAGCTTACTTTAGCCTAAGCCGCCAGAAAGAATCTCGAGCACCAAGAAGATGCCGTATCCGGAGGGTTTTCACGTGTGGGGCTCTGGGAGGCGAGACTCGCTCGACGCTGTTTCGATACGTCTCTAGGTGCTCGAAATTATTTCTGGGATTTGGTCCTTAAGTACGACGGGCGCAACATCATGTTCGAATGCCTGTGGAGTTTCCGATGGCGTTCTCGGGCGCCCCCCCCACGATGGTCCCTGAGCGCCCCGAAGCGCCCTGCCCGTGGGCGCCTCGAGGCACGCTCCCCCTGAGCCCCCAGGCCTGAGCGCGGCGGCGGACGTGTCAGAGGCAGACGCAAACGAAAACGGTGTAGTGATTGCCTTTGAGGGCCCCGCTGCACGTGGTCGTTCTTTATTCGTTGTTTTGCCGGTCGGCGCGGGCCCTCGCACCCCCCTTTCCTCCCCCCTCCCCATGGAGTAGATCTTGGCTGTCTTTTGGCGACCGTCTCGAGCAGGTGGAGCCTCCCCCATGATGGACGCAAAGTTGCAGACAGTCGCACTGAGCAGAGGTCCGGAGCCAGAACCCCCCCCCTGCCCCCCCCCCCTTCGCCAAATGTCCCAACGCCGTATGAGAAGGCGCTCACGTTGCCTCCGAGGGCCCAGCCGCGGAGGGTGGTCGCGGGACCTCTCGAAGAGGTCCCGCGACCACCCTCCGCAGCGATTTTGGCTCCAGGGCTCCGCAGCAATTCGGCTCAATGCCGATGGGCTTTGTAACCCACATGCTTCTACCATGTAGGATACCGCTTTGTGCTGGAGCTGTCGTGGCACTTGCAAGCGGCACCGTTCTGTGCAGCACTCCTGGCGACACAACAAGTTATGCGTCATGGCTCCTGTGGGTCACAGCTAGTCTTCTGTCCTATTTCCTTGGTCGCTACGCTTCAATGATCACGGGCTTCAACGCCAGAGTGGTGCAGTTGTTCACCACAAGTTCGGTGACAGACAGCAGTGCTTGCGATGGTGGGCAGCAGTCCAACCCTGCAGCTACCACTCAGGACGGTTGTCGCCCGAGGAAGAAGGATCATGCCGTATCCGAGTATCCCATGGGACAGGAGCAACATCGAATTGCATATGGTATGCGTCTCATGGAATGCGTGCAGGCGCAGTCTGTGTCGTACAACGCCCGAACAGTTCGTAAAGTGATGATTACTTGCAACAGACTCGAAGACGGGGCCACAGCCGTGAAATTATTTGATCTGATGTTGGATAGGGGTGCTGTTTCAAATGCACATGCTATTGCCAAGCCTGTGTCCGACAAATTCTTCAATCTCGTCGTCTGCACCCTCAATGACAAACGCATTCGGGAAGACGGGCCGCGACTTATTGATTTAATACAAGCTCATGGGCTTTCACCGCCGGCTACCACCCAGAATCGTTTGTTGCTTGCATTTGGCAATATCCTTCCTGAGAGCATATTGCGGTGCTTTGTTACGATGTTGAACGGTGGTGGTATTCTCAGCATCTGGGCATACCGCTACATCGTGGTGGCCCACCAGTGGTCGGATCCAGCATTCGCGTTAAAGGTCTTCGACGAGATGGAGGAGCTGGGATATAAAGCCGACAGGGCGGCGTACAATGCAATCTTGGTTGCTTGCTGTCAGCTTGGTATGCACGAAATAGCTCAGCAGTTGTTCATGCAGATGGCAGACCGTGCGCTGAAACCCAATGCAAAGTCTTATTCTACCATGGTCAAATCGTACTTATTCAACAACGAACCCGAGAAAGCTCTCGCACTTTTCGCGACGATGCGGGGCAAGTGCTTCAAGCCTGACCGCTTTGCCTACCACCATGCGATCCTCTCCTGCATCGCGCTCGAGCGCATTCAGTACGGCGTTGAATTGTACGAGGACGCGGTTACGGCAAATATAGCCCTCTGCGCTTACACGTACGTCGCTCTGACGTCAGCGTGCCAGGAGTTTGGTCGTCATGAGTTGGTTGACAAGATCATGGCAGACATGGCGCGCGCGCAAGCATCAGATGTCGAACAGGGGCCTGCCTCGCGCGCATTGCGAGGTTGAATGCGCCATTTCCGACGAGGGTCCCAGGAAGGCACGGCAAGTTGTGTGTTGCAATGTGGTATGGTTGCCCCACTGGCATGGTGTCTTTAGTGTGCCGTTGATTGCTGACTTCTTCGTATTGCACGCTGTACTTCGCGGAGCGTAAGCAACTCGGTATGTTGACCAGGGAGTTGTTTCAACATGTTTGTTGATTTTTTGTTTGCCCGTAATGGTTGCAACCCTTCCCCTCAAGGTTTCTTCTTGTCTTTATCACATTCCTCCTCCGCCCTCTCCTTGCTGCTCTATGTCCGGGACCATGGGCTGCTCGAGTGCTCGTTCGGTGCCAGTCGCCCTCGGGGATAGTGGCTAACTTCTGCTACCTGTGTGAGGCGTGCTGCACAGACATCACGAACCTGTCCCAGTTGCTGCTCGATCGGTGCAGAGGTGCCCCAGCAAATGCAGGCATCAAGTCTCAGCTGTGCCGCATCAGGGGCGGGCGTCGCCTGAACTTTTTTGCTCCCTTCCGCCCGAGGTGTGCACACCTGCGCGGCGCAGAGCTGTCCTGCCTTCTCAGAGTTCGCGCCGAGGGGGACGGCGGTGCAAGCGCTCGGGAGCTGCCACGTGTCCACGCTTTCGAAGAGAGAGAGAGAGAGAGAGAAAGAGAGAGAGGGAGCTATGGATGGTGCGGGAGGGAGGCGTTGGGAGAGGGGGCTACCCGTCGAGAAGGGTCGGAAGGTGATCTCTGCCCCGAGTCCGACGGAGGCGATCTTTTCTACCTATTACTTGCGTCTAGCGCGATCCACACCCAGCCCTGCCGTCTTTCTGGTTGACCCGCCGAAGCGATTTATCAGAGCGCTACTCGGCGCGTCCTCCTCCCGCGGGCGTGCTGAGCTGCTGGGCAGGCCTGCGGGTTGGCTGTGGACGCTGCCGCGTGTGTCGCTTTGCCCCGCCGCCCGGCCGCCCTGTCCCCATCCCCCCCCTTCTTTGGAGCAGCAACGTATAGTACAGTTACCATGACTGCGTCTATTACTTCTTTCCTTACTCCGATTTTTGTTCCACGCGAGCTCGGGGTATCGCAAGCGAAGGATCACAGTTCGGGTGCGCGGCTGGCATCTGCAGCGACCCCGGCGCGTTAGTGGGCGCCTGGCAGGCCATCCCCACTGGACGCCATCAGCCCAGACTCCGAATCACCCATTGCAGTCGGACAGACTCCGACTCGCACGGAAGGAGGGAAGCTCGTTGCGCGCATCGAGCGGCGCACGCCCAAGGGCGAGCATCCACGACAACTTCCAGGGGGCACACTGAAATGCGGGCCCCTTTGGTGTCTCCACGAGCGGAGCTTGCGGCACGTCGGGGCACACAGTTGCTCATGGCACCCCGCCTCGCCAGTCCTGCTGTTGCCTCCCGCTCCGTTCCTGTCATTCCTCCATCCTCTGCTCTGAGCGTCGTCCCTCCGCTCTTCCTGGAACCTGTTCCGCGGTTCTGTTCGACATAGCATGCGGTTTCCCGCGGCATGGTGCACGCCTGATCTGAGTGGGCTGCCGATATCTTTTGTGATTGAATTTTGAACTGCTCGAGGAGTCAGTCGACTTCAGCTCTCGCCGAAGTGGGGTGTGGGGGCTGAGAAACGGGGTGAGTCGGCGTGGTGGGAGGTTAACGAGGGCGAAGGGGGAGGAACCGCAGTGCATCTTGAGAGAGTTGCCGGTGCCATCGGGCACCCCAGCGGGAATCTTGGTTTCACCCTTTCTCAGTTGATCGGCGCTTCCTCGTGCTGAAACGCACGTTAGGGCTCGAAGCTAGTTAAGAATCAGCAGACCCGAGGTGATTACACTGTGCTATTTTTGCGCCCGGAAACAAATATGTCCCGCGACCCCCCGAGTAATGATTGCCTTCGAGGGTCCAGCTGCACCCCAAGAGGTCCTGGGATCCCCCCCCGAAGCGCAAGAGAACGGAGGATGCCTTGAGCGAAAGAGAATGAGCAAGGAGAAAGGACGAGAAAGGGACGAACAAGACGTGCATATTCAACGTAGGGGGAACCGCTTTTTGAACGTGGACAGTGCGGGCAATGGCGCTGTCCCTAATGAATGCAACGCAACCCGCCGCAGGCGCCTTTTTTTATCATGATGTCGAATAAACATGTGTGGGGCGCCGGTGGTTCGCAAGTGAGTCGCGGGTGGTCGCGCGGTGGTTGCGCTGTCCCATACCGATGCGATGCAGCCAGCCTCAGGTGCGATTTCTTTTATTCTATTGTCGATGGTGGGGCGGGTCGTGGGTGAGACGTGGGGTGGGTCGCGGGGTGGGTCGCAGAATGGGTCGCGGGTGGGTCGCAGGCCGGTCGCGGAATGGGTGGGGTGTGGGCCGCGGATGGGTCGCGGAGGTCGCGGGCGGGTTGCAGGATGGGTCGCGGGATGAGTCGCGGGTGTGTCGCGGGATGGGTCGCGGGATGGGTCGCCGGTGTGTCGCGGGTGGGTCGCGGGTGTGTCGCGGGGTGGGTAGCAGATGAGTAGCGGGTGGGTCGCGTGTGGGTCGCGGGATGGGTCGCGGGGGGCGGTTTCGGGTGGCACGGCGACAACAGCAAGCAGAGTCCGTGCCGCGGAAGCCCGCCTCAGCCACGCACCCCAAGGATGGTGTGGCGCCGCGCGGCCCCCTCCCTCTGACCACATGGTGCGAGTTGGCCCCGTGAGGGCGACGTGCACGCCAAGAGATATCTTCTGGTAGAAGCTCCGTGGCGGGCGCCTCCCGGCCATGCTGCTGGGGAGTCGACATGCTATGAGATTTGTGTACCCTGGGTTTCTTAGTGAGCGTGGGGGGGTACCCCCCCCCGACGGGGGTCAACCTTGCCTCGTCGGCGCGCCGCGACGGGGGTCAGAGCGCCTTCGACGCGCGGTGGCTGCCCGCGACGGCGGTCGATGTGGGGCTATCGGCGGGGGTGACGCCCCCCCGACGCTTATTGAGAAACCTGGAGTATTGTATGTTCGCGTCGGAGGTGCGCCTCCAACATCAGCACACCGTGCCACAGTCGGGTCAATGCTGTTGGCAGTGTAGTGTTAGGCCGCGTGCCAGTTGCCGGAAGCGCGTGCGCACATGCACGCGCGTGCACGCGCACGCGCGCGCACGCGCTCAGGATGGGGCTCGGGCTCGAGCTCGGTCTCCAGCTCGCGCTCGGGCTCGGGGTCGGGCTCGCGCTCGGGCTCGGGCTCGGGCTCGCGCTCGCGCCCGAGTTTGCGCGCGCGAACGCGCGGACGCGCACGCACTGCACCCGTTTGAGAGCGAAGCGTGACTACAATGCTAGGACACCCAACCCTGGGCCCCGCACTCCCCACCCCCGACCTTGTTTATTTCTAAGGCCCTAAGTGGGGTGTAGGAGGGGGCAACAGAAGCCGTGGAGGAGGGCGACGACTGGGAGGAGGCGGAAGCGTAGAAGAATATCAAGCACGACAACAGGGGAGGAGGACGAAGATGCCGACCACGAACAGGTGGAGGAGGAGGAGGAGGAGGAGGAGGAGGAGGAGGAGGAGGAGGAGGAGGAGGAAGGTGACGGAGGAGAGATCCTCTCGGGGCGCGGTGCGGCCCGGCCCTTCGAGGTCGGGGCTTGCCAGCACCCGCTCGCAGCATCCGCGAGCGTATGAACAGCGTCGCGACCCCCAAGACAATCATGTGATCGTTTTTCATTCATTGTTTTGCCGATCGGCGCGAGCTCTCGCGCCCCCCCTTCCCCCCCCCCTGGAGTGGGACTTGGCAGTTTTTGGCGCCTCTTTCGAGCAGGTGGGGTCCCTCCCCGACAGGGCGCACGGTTCCAAACAGCCGCACCGAGCAGAGGTTTGGAGCCAGACCCCCCCTCTTCCCCCCCCCCCTCCCGCCCAATGTCGAAACGCCGAACGAAAGAAGCGCCGACCAGAGCGCGGATGCTCCCCGCGCAGGCTCAGGAGTGCGACCGGCGCCGGGGGCGAGAACGACGGGCGGCCTGGGGCACAGCCGATGCACGCGCACGGCAGGGGCGTGCCACCGCACGCAGTGGAGAAGGCGGCACGCCAGAGCCACCCACTCCCCGGGGCGACACGCCACACGTGATTGTTTTTTCGTGCATTGTTTTGCCGATCGGCGCGGGCCCTCGCACCCCCCTCCCGCCCCCCCCCCCCTGGAGTGGATCTCGGCAGCTTTTGGTGCCTGTTTCGAGCAGGTGGAGCCCCTCTCCCAGAGGACGCACCGTTCCAAGCAGTCGCACCAGGCAGAGGTCCGGAGCCAGACCCCCGCCCTCCCCCCCCGCCCCTTCCGCCCAATGTCGAAGCTCCGAACAAGAAGACGCTCACGTGCAGGGGTAGGGGTGCGGCCCACGCCGCGGCGAGAGCGCCGTTCCACTGGGCAGAGCCAGGCCGAGTTTTTCCCAACTGTGGCCCGCGCTGCTGGCGGGAGCGCTGCTTCTGCAGATGCCCAGGAGCGAAAAAAGGACGTACACGTACATGAATCCACGTTGGTTTCGAGAGTTCGCATGGCGCGAATGTGCGTATGGCGCGGCCGGTCTCGCGTTTCAAGGGACCGTGTTCATGTACATAGCTAGGCGCGTACGTCCTTTGTGGGCTCCCCAGATGCAGGGCTACAGCCAGCGATACGGCGAGAGCGCCGTTGCGGCGGACGGAGGCTGCAGGGAGATCATCACATGTTCAAGCAGTGGCGAAGCGTCCTGGCTTGCCTATAGCCCTACTAAACAATGTTCTAAGAACCTTTTGTGGTTTCCACGAAATGTTCTTAGAACATTTCTGGTTGAGACTGTCTTGTTCTAACACATCGGGTTTATGTTCTCAGAACTATGTTTTTGTTATTAGAAAATCTTTGGGTTCTAAGAGCATTTCGTGGTAGGACTATAGGAATGCCGGGACGGTCGGTCCCTGCTCAACATGTGGCACACGCTGCAGCGGGAGCACCGATGTCGCTGATGCAGGAGTGCGACCACCCCTGCGACGAGAGCATGGACCCATTATGATGCTCCAACCTACTTTAGCCTTGATCACCAGGAAGAATTTCGAGCGCCCAAAAGAGTACCGAAGCTCGAGGTCGCGTGTCGGGCCCTGGGAGACACTCGTCCGACACTGTTTCGACACTGTTTCGACACTCTTTTCCGGGTGCTCGAAATTACTTCTGGGATGCGGTCCTTAAGTAGAACGGGGTCAACCCTTGGCCGGAAGATCGACCGAACTTCGCAAATGCCCCCCCAGCGGGAATGCCATTTTCATTGATGCAAGGGCACGGTCCGCGCTGCGGCGAGGGGTTCGTTCCGTTGGGCGGCGTCTTTGCGGAGCTCGTTCAGTATGACAACCGCTGCAGCGGGGTGTTATTGTTTGCAAGACCCAGAGCGTTCTGATTGGACCCAAAGACCATTGCGAAGGCCAACTCGGGACACTTCCTGTGTGCAACAAAGCAGTGTACCTATAGGATATAGGGGGGTGCAGGTGAACACAGCATCAGTGGAGAGAGGAGAGTAGCTTTCACGTTGTGTTGTTGCGGCAAGAAGAACGAGGCGAAGAAGGATGAGGAGGATGAAGAAGGGTGGAGGAGGACGAAAGGGCAGCGCGGGTCCGGGGCAAGATTGGCAAGTGCAGAAGCTGGTGATTCCGGATCTTTCAGGGCAGCGGTGCCCGAGGAGGAGGACTGGGAGAAAGCAGGCAGCTGCCATTGCGTGCCGAGGCTTCCCCTTTTCGACTGTCGCCCCATCCCCTGCCCCCCCCCCTCCCCCCCCCCTCCCCAGAGCCAAGACGCTGGACTGAGGACCACCTCGGGCTCGGGAGGGGCTCTGGCTCTCGGGCAGCTCCTACGACCGGGGTCGGTGGACGTGGCCGCGTCGCCCCGGCCAGAAGAAGGGCCCCTCGGTTCCCGGTCCAGCGTTCCTGGCTGTAGCGCGACGGCTGCACAGTGGGAGCCCATGCCAAGAGGCACCGTGCTTTGCCTCCAGGGTGCCCTGGGTTTCTTTGGTTTCGGTGGCTTTGCCGTGGAGAGCATGACGTTCCCACATCAAAGATCGATGGACGTCCTGGGGTCTCAGGGTTGGGTTTCTTGTGGAAGGTTTCTTGTGGACTGGCCTCCACTGTACTCCTCTTTCACAGCCGCGACGCCGACACTCCTCGCATGCTCCCATCCCCGTAGCCCGCCCGCTCCGCCTCCCCGCAAGGCTCGCGCAGGTTGCCATTCTGCGGACGAAGACGCCTGCAGCAGACGGGCGGTGAGCCCCGGGACGGGAGGGAGCCGATGACGGTGTGCGAGGGCGTGGACCAGGAAGGGTTCGGAGCGAGGGGAGGAGGAGGAGGAGGAGGAGGAGGAGGAGGAGGAGGAGGAGGAGGAGGAGGAGGAGGAGGAGAAGAGGAGGGAGAAGAGGAGGAAGCGTTGAAGTCGCGGAGCGCGCCAGGGCGGCGCTGCAGGCGCCGCCAGGGGGGGGCCAGCGCCGATCCGAGAAACCCGTGTCCAGCCCCAAAAGTTGCATGCTTATGCAACTTTGGGCTCCTCGAGCCCAGGAGCGTTCGGACTCGCCACGGGGGGCCTGCCGCCGAGCCATCGGCGATGCGTCGCCGATTCCAGGGCGGCGTCTTCCCCCCCTTGCGCTGGCCCCCTGGCTGTCCTCGGGCCACAGCTCGGCTCTGCGGCGGCCGCTCGGGGCGACATCTGAGCACCCCCGGAGCGCCCTCGGCGAGGCGCAGCCGCCGAGAAGCATCCCGAGGCCGGAGGCCCGCCCAGAACCGACGAAACCGGTCGAGAGCCTCAAGCCTCGAACCCGAACCGCCCGGGGACGCTCGGACTCGCTGCCAGGGCCCACCGCCGATCCGTCGGCGATGCCTCGCCGATTCCAGCTCGACGCCTCCCCCCTTTGAGCGCCGAGATCTCTCATCTGAGCGGGCTCCGTGGGTCAGTGCTGTGCAGGTGCGGGCACGGAGGGCTCTGCTTCCTCCCCGAGATCCGACGTCGCGAAAAATTGCGACCTCGTACAAGATCACGCCCGCAGCCCTAGACCCCACCTTCCTGCGCCATTTTTCTCGAGCTGGAGCGAGAGGAAGAGGTGGAGGAGGAGGGAGCAGGGAGGAGGAGGAGGAGGAGGAGGAGGAGGAGGAGGAGGAGGGAGGAGGAGGAGGGAGGAGGAGGAGAGTGAGGGAGAGGAGGAGGAGTGAGGAGGGAGGAGGAGGGAGGAGGAGGAGGAGGCGGAGGAGGAGGAGGAGGAGGAGGAGGAGGAGGCGGAGGAGGAGGAGGAGGAGAGGAGGAGGAGGAGGAGGAGGAGGAGGAGGAGGAGGAGAGGAGGAGGAGGAGAGGAGGAGGAGGAGGAGAGGAGGAGGAGGAGGAGGAGGAGGATGAGGAGGAGGAGGAGGGAGGAGGAGGAGGAGGAGAGAGGAGGAGGAGGAGGAGGAGGAGGAGAGGAGGAGGAGGAGGAGGAGGAGGAGGAGGAGGAGGAGGAGGAGGAGGAGGAGGAGGAGGAGGGAGTAGGAGGAGGAGGAGGAGGAGGAGAGGAGGAGGAGGAGGAGGAGGAGGAGGAGGAGGAGGGGAGGAGGAGGAGGAGGAGGAGGAGGAGGAGGAGGAGGAGGAGGAGGAGGAGGAGGAGGAGCAGAGGAGGAGGAGGGAGGAGGGAGAGGGAGGAGGAGGAGGAGGAGGGGAGGAGGAGGAGGAGGAGGAGGAGAGGTAGAGGAGGAGGAGCAGGGAGGAGGAGGAGGAGGAGGAAGGAGGAGGAGGAGGAGGAGGAGGAGGAGGCAGGAGGAGGAGGAGGAGGAGGAGGAGGAGGAGGAGGGGAGCTGCGAGCTTCCCCCCCGTGGCGCCGCGGCCGCGCGCGCCCGGGGCGCGCCTCCTCTTGCGCTCCCGCGGGGGCCCCCCGCGCAGCCCATCACCGACGGCAGGGCTCGCCCGCAGCCCCCCCTCGGGGCGCGAGGCGGGCGGCCGAGAGGCGGGTCTCCCCCCCCGATGCCAGGCCTCCTCGGGTCATGCCCCCCCTCCACCCTCCCTCCCCTCCTCCTCCTCCTCCTCCTTCTCCTCCTCCTCCTCCTCCTCCTCCTCCTCCTCCTCCTCCTCCTCCTCCTCCTCCTCCTCCCCCCGTGCCGAAGGTGAGCATGGCCCCAGTGTCGAGTATCCAGGGAGGACGCACGGGGCGGCATGTAAGGAGACACACACACAAGAACATACAGTCTCCGATGAGCACCTCCCTTGAGCTCGCTGGGGTTTTGCCACCGGGGAGACACAGGCCAAGGGGGGCCATTTGGGCTGGACCCAAGTCCCAAACAACCCCCCAATCGGGCTCCACCACCCCATGCACATACAATATAGCGACAACTTGCTCACATGGCGCCACAACCGTTGGCCCGTAGTACCCCCTTTGGGAGGTCGCCTGAGTGGTCGGTTCTGTATCGGGTACGCCACCACGGCGCCACAAACCAGGGGGTTTGTTCGGGCTGCTCCATCGGCCCGAAGACCCCCCCCAGCACCGGGGCTATCACTACGGTCGTTTTCCTTTGTGGGTGCGCCAGCAAGGCGCCACAAACCAGGGGGGGTGTTCGGGCTGTTCCTTTGGCCCGAAGGACCCCTCCAAACCGGTGTCCACCACCGTACGCACACACTGTAGTCTGCGTAGGCGCCCTTGTCGGCTGTTGGTTGCGCCATCAAGGTGCCACACACCACCTCGGCAACCGTGGCTCACGACGGCCCCGCTGTCGGATGATCAAGGTCACGGGGGTTGTTCGGGCTGTTCCCTTAGCCTTCAACTGCCCCCTCAATGCAGCCACACCACGGGCGGACGTTCTGTGTTCTGAGTGCGCCCGCAAGGCGCCACAGACCAGGGGGGATGTTTCGGGCTGTTCCCTTAACCCCAAGGACCCCCCACAACGGAGTCCAACACCATGTGCACTGTAGCCTGCGCAGGCGCCCCCGTTGGCTGTGGGTTGCGCCATCAAGGCTCCACACACCACCAGGGACGCTTTGTCTCCTGACGGCCCCGCCATTGGATGCTTAAGAGCGTCGTCAAGGAACCGCCAGTCAGGTGGTTCGTTCGGGCTATTCCCTTGGCCCGAAGAGCCCCCCCCGCACCAGAGCTCCCACCACGAGCGGTCATTTTCTGTTCTGGGTGCACCAACAAGGCGCCACAAACCAGGGGGGGTGTTCGGGCTGTTCCTCTGGCCCGAAGGACCGCCCCCAAACGGTGGACACCACTGTGCACACTGTAGCCTATGTAGGCGCCCTTGTCGGTTGTCGGTTGCTTGCGTGCTCAAGGCGCCACACACCACCATGGCAACCTCAGGGTAACGATCGGTTCGTCTTCTGCTCTTCGTTTTCTTCGCTGGTCTTTGTCAGTACATCATTGGTTTACCTTTTCAAGGGGTCGGGTCTTTGCCTTTCGGCTTTCGTAGGCCTCTGGAAGAGGTGGCGGGCCAAAAGGAAGGGCTGCCGCGCCCAGCCCCTCCCGAGGTCCACGGGCGGGCACGAACAGCCGGCCCATGAGAGCCGAGCCCGAATTCCCGCTGCGCCACCAGCGCCGACGCCTTTGATCTTCTGTTGTGCTTTAAGCCACCTGCGCCCAGTGGGTGAGCAGGTGTACTTTGGCCTATGGAGGCCTCCTGGGCTCCAGGCTGTTCTTGGTGGCCTGTTTGAGTTGTGTTTGCCTGTCGCGTGATCGCGTTGGTGCCGGTTGCGAAGTGTGCTCTCGTCCTTTCGGGTGTGGCGCCGCCTCGTGGCATGCTTTACAGGTTCCACTGGGCTGTTGCTGCTTACGGGGGTGTTGTTCAAACGCCTTCTGTTCGTCGAGACACCTACGCCCAGTGGGCTAGCAGGTTTATTTGGGCCTGCGGAAGCCTCTTGGGCTGTGCAAGCGCTTGGTAATTCTGTCTTTGGACAAGGGGTGGCGTTCTTTCTTCGGCCCACCCAGACACGAGCGGCATCGGGGGGCGTGGTTCGTGCGCTTGCATTGTGGCCCCTGTGCCCAAGGGAAGCGCTCAAAGAATGGGCCCCTGTGCCCCAGGGGAGCGTTCGAAGAGGCTCGGGTAGACGTGGCGACGTGTACCCAGCCGGCCCAAACAACATTCGGTATCGCACATCCTCTGTAACTGTCACATGGTTGCGACCCTAATCGCCGACGCTGGGGTCGATGCTGGGCCAGGTGGTGCTTGCCCTCGCTTGGCTGGTTACGACTTGCGGGGCGGGGGCCACATTACTCACAGGTCGCGGGCGGTCTCGAGGAGACGGTGGGGGGCAAAAAGGGCCACACTTTGTTGCAACGCCCCTGGGGGGTACTCCGTGACACCTTCAAGCCCCAAGTTCCGCCCTCACTGGAGGCTCGCTGCAGCCTCCCAGCGACCGCGTCTCTCTCTCTCTCTCTCTTTTCTTTCTCTCTGGAGGAGCGGGAGGAGTGGAGGTTGGGGTTGGGGGCTTTGGACACGGCTTGCGGCGGATGGAGGCTCCCAAGGCTTGCGTGGAGTCGAAATTGTGTACTACTTTGGGGGCGGACGGGGGCTCCCACAGCTTGCGGGCAGTCGGATTTGTGTACGAATATGTTTTGGTGCTTCTCGGCGAACACGCGTGCGTCTTCTGGGCGAACAGTTGGAGGTCCTCAACTACCAGACGGTGCTGCGCCTCCGAAGGCCTCCTGAGGCCTTCGGAGAAAATAAATCGCACCCCATTCGCAAGCCTCAGCTATCCCAAGTGACGGGATTGCTCATTTGTACTCAGCTGTGGCAAGGAGCTAACTTATTCATCATCCTTCGGCAACTGCTATCCCACTTGGTGGGCTTGCCCGCGTCTGTGCGAGCAGGTACCCCCTGTCAACCGTAGGTCGGCATTGACCGTGGCAACCTGAACGGTCGCTGTCCAACTGGTTTCACTCTTGACTTCATGTGGGGTGAGTTGTGAGGGAAGCGCTCACATACGGCCCTGGACGTTTCCCATGAGAGTACTTTTCCCATGAGAGTACTTTTCGCACCGCACACATAATGCTCAGGCGAGGGATTTCCCCCCGATTCTGCGACACCTCCCTCGCAGCGTGCCGCAGTTTTTTGGGGCCCCAAAAAGGCTGGCGAGCCCCCATGGCGCACTGGTACAGCCCAACTGGCTGGCCTGCCGAAGTATGGTTGAAACCAAGTCAGGTTACACTGGCTTCTGCCATATTCGCGACTGTAAGGATGAGACCTCCAAAAGTCCTTGAACATATCCCTCCTGCAGGGGCGAGCTGCTTTAGGCAGTGGGTTGCGGAACAATGCACTTCTGAGGGTCGCCTCATCCTTACAGATGGTTAGGTGCTCTGAAAGCCTATAGCGTACTCGGCAGTCCTCCTCCTCCTCCTCCTCCTCCTCGTCCTCCTCCTCCTCCTCCTCCTCGTCCTCCTCCTCCTCCTCCTCCTCCTCCTCCTCGTCCTCCTCCTCGTCGTCCTTCTCCTTTTCCTCCTCTTCCTCCTCCTCCTCCTCCTCCTTCTCCCCCTCCTCCTCCTCCTCCTCCTCCTCCTCCTCCTCCTCCTCCTCCTCGATCTCTCTCCTCCTCCTCCTCCTCTCCTCTCCTCCTCCTCCCCTTCCATTCTCCTCTCCCCCCCCTCCTCCTCCTCCTCCTCCCCCTCCTCCTCCTCCTCCTCCTCCTCCTCCCTCCCTCCTCCTCCATCTCCTCCTCCTCTCCTCCTCCTCCTCCTCCTCCTCCTCCTCCCGCTCCTCCTCCTCCTCCTCCTCCTCCTCCTCCTCCTCCGCCTCCTCCTCCTCCTCCTCCGCCTCCTCCGCCTCCTGCGATCCCAGACTCCGGGCCTCCCGGATGGGGTCCGAGCAGATAGGGTCAGAGGGTCGCACCTCATCGCCAATGCATCGCCGGTGCGGCTCGACGTGTTGCGCAGGCCTAGAGGTTGACACCAACACCAATAGCGGCGGTGTGCCTCCACTGAGGGAAGACGATCCCGATCTCGATGATGGTGGTCATATTCTGGCTGCCAAGGTGACCGAAAAATTACCACCATCACCGAAATCTAGGACCATCTTCCCCCTATGGAGGCAACCCCTCGTGTTGGTGTTGGTGCCTATTTCCAGGTCTCCAAGAGTTGCCCGATCTTCTCCACGCTGGCGTCGCCGGAGCTCCGCCGACGCATCGGCGACGCGGCGAGATGAGATCCTCCGCGACCCCATGTGGGAGGCCTCTGCAGACCCCCTCGGGTCACGAGAACCTGACGCCGGGCGGCTTTTGCCAGTGTTCGGCCCCTGGAGGGGCCCTCTCAGAGGCGACGATAGGGGCGAATAGCCCGGGGTGGGAGCAATACATGTATCCAGGGGCGCCGATGATCTATGTCTTCGGCGAGGCTCGCCAGGCCTCGGGCGGGGACCGTCCAAGAGCCAGTCAGGAGGAAGAAGCAGGCCCAGGGAACGTGTCGAGACTTCTCGGGGTCGACGCTGCGAACAGATCGGGACGTCGGCGGTGCGGGGTCCTTGCTCCTCGTGCGTTGGGGGGCGGAGGTCCCGCGTCCTCATCGTGGCCAACACGCACCTGTTCTACCACCCCGGTGCGCCGCACGTCCGGCTGCTCCAGGATCGCCCGCTGCCCGCCCATCTCCGCTCGGAGGCAAGCAGCATGTCGCCCACGGCGTCGAGACCGACGAGCGACGACTGTCAGAGGAGGGAAAGATCCCGATGCTGCCACGCTTGCCTCGTTCTCGCCCTCTTGGGGGCCTCTGGGGAGGCCCTCGTCGCCCCCCGCTGGATTCGCCTCGAACTTCTCGTCTGAACGCACCCCGGAAGAGGTGCGGGGAGTAGCGGAGGAGGAGGAGGAGGAGGAGGAGGAGGAGGAGGAGGAAGAGGAGGAGGAGGAGGTCGACGAGGAGGAGATCGAGGAGGAGGAGGAGGAGGAGGAGGAGGAGGTGGAGGAGGAGGAGGAGGAGGAGGTACTTCCTTGGGTTTCCCCAAACGGGGGGAGTTGTGGTCCTTACCCCGCGGGGGGACCCATCAGCCTCGACACCCCTATCAATCGAGTCTCGATCCTCTGTCCTCGATTGAACCTCGATCCTCCAGGGCTCCTCGATCGAAGCTCGATCCTCGGGCCAACCTCGATCCTCGATCGACTCCAGTGTCGATCCTCGCTCGAGCGAGCGTCGACGCGCTGGGTTCCCCCCGATGGGGGTAAGTGAGGAGGGAAAAAAACACACAGACACAATTAATCGTCGACCCCCAGGAAGATATTGAAAAATATGGGAAGTGGGGGGGAAGACAAAAAACCAGAAAATATGGGAAAATGTAGGGAATCCTTTTATTTGTGTGTATTTATTTGTGTGTCCCAGGGCCCCCGCTGCTGCTGCTGCAGCTGGTCGGCCAGGGTGCCGGGGCGACCCCTCGAGCTGTGTGGGTCGTGCGGCCTTCGACCAGGTCCCCAGGTCATTCCGATTCCGCCGGTTCGATTCGAACCGATTTCTGCGATTCCGATTTCGCACCGACTCGATTCCGGGATTCCGATTCGCGATTCCGATTTCGAGTTCGTCCGATCCGGCTCCTGCCGATTCGATGCGCCTGCCGGGGACCGTCCCCGGCACAGGTTAGTCGGGGCCCACGGGACAGGGGTCAATCAGATTAGGGGGGCAAGCAATGGCATAAACACAAAAACTCGGAGCTCCGCGCGGACCTCCGAGCTGTTGTGTTTATGCCATTGGCTGTTTCCCTATAAATGCTCGCTTGGGGGACCTTCCCGGGACCCACCTCACGGATCTGTTCGACTCTAGTTCGACCCCAGTTCGACTCAAGTTCGATTCAAGTTCGACTCAGGTTCGACTCAGGTTCAACTCGAGCAAGGTCGGCTCAAATCGACGGACGTTCGACGCAGCTTCGACGCACGAGTCGAGCGAGTGTCTCCAGGAAGGTCCCCAGAATGAGCATCCGAGGTTAATGGAAACGGGGGTCGGCCAGTGCACCAGATCTTGCATGACCCTGCAGAGCCAGGGCTGCGTTGACGCGGGCTTGCGTGCAGGATCTTGCAGGACCCTGCAGGATACTGCAAGGCCTGACTGACCCGGGTGTGCATTGGCCTGGGTCAGTACGTCCCCGATCGAAGAAGAACAAACGCCATAAACATAATGTTTTGGCGCTCCGCGCGGATTTCCTGAATCCGTGCTGGGCACCCCACGCGGCGCCTCCGGCGCCGCCCCTGGCGCGCGCCGCGCGCCAGGGAGGGGCGTCCAGCGCAGATCCAAGAAACCCGCGCGGAGCGCCAAAAGTTTGTGTTTAGGGCGTTTGTTCCTCTTCTACCCGAGGCAGTCTCCAGTGGTGTCCGCTGCCGTGGGCGTTCCAGCTTCGGCTCGCGGTCGCCGTGGGGTGAGGGGCGGTGGGTGGGGGAGTGTGTGGTAGTGGGGCGGGACGGTGGAGGAACGAGCCACGCTGGCCGAGCGAGACTGACCCTGTGGACCTTGCGTGGACTGCGCACTGAAGCAACAAAAAAAAAGCTTCGGCTCGCGGTCGCCGTCGTCCCCGCGGCGGTCGCCGCGAGCCCTCGCCCGCGCGTGGCGCGCAGGGCCGCGGGGGGAGCCAGGAAGGGCCTGGCCTCCTCGCACGCTCGGTCATCGGACAGCGTCTCGGAGTCGGAAGGGTGTGCGGGGGCCGTCCATTTTGACGAAGGGGGGGCCTGGGGGTGGCTCTTCCTCTGGGGGGAACACAGGGCGCCCTCGAGGGCGCGAAGTTATTCGCGCTTCGCGCTTCGGCTCCGATTCCTCCTCGTCCTCCTCTCCTCCCCTGGGAGGCGGCGCGAGAGCGCGAAGTTATTCGCACTTCGCGCTTCCCGCAGCGCAAAGCGCGAAGTTGGTAGCCCTTGCTCCTTTCTCTGGGGGGTGCACTGTGTCACTTGGCGCTGGTAGTGTAGTGCCGCGTCTAGATGGCGGGGTGAGGCAGGGCGCTACCAGCAGGCCAGTGCTGATGCCGGCGCTCCCATGCGTCCCCACCCAACATCATGCCTCCGAGCGGGAACCTCGTACGAAGTTGACGCATTTTGGGGATGGGCCACTGATGGGGAGACGTGGCAGTCAGAGCTACGCAGCAAAATTTGGGAGACGAGCGTGGTAAACGTGCAACCACGCATGACAGAGCATAGCAATATCAGCTTGCATGATTCAAGCGTGGACCTCAAACAGTAAACGGGTGAAGGCAGTGCAACGAAATGCGAAGCATTGCAAAGCAATGCAAAGCAATGCAACGCAATGCAACAGGCAATGCAGAGCAGTACGAGACAATGCAAGGCAATGCAAATCAGTAGTACAGACTATATTGCAAGTCAATGCGCAGCAGTGCAGGAGAAGCAAAGCACGCAAAGCAGTCCAAAGCAACGCTACGCAAGGGACTGCAAATCCAGGCACCGCCACCCAAAGGAAGGCATGCGGGGCGCGGCAGTGCAGATTAGTCCAGGGCAGTGCAGAGCGGGGCAACGCAGGGCACAGCACACATGGGGCAAAGCACAGCAGGGAAAGCCGGGCAGATTGGTCCAGAGCAGTGCAGTGCAGAGCGACGCAGAGGAGCGTGACGCCACGCACAACAGGGCGGCAGCCGGGCGGCGGCGGGGCGGCGGCGGATCGGCAGCCGGGCCAGCAGAGGGTCGACGCTGGGCGGCGACGGGGCGGCAAGCAAGACGTAAGAGCCCCTGAGCTGCGGTGGGTGGGCGACAAAGGTGTCCACACCCATCGCGCCAGTATGACACGGCACCGAACTGCGTCGAACAAATATCCACAGCCCCCGCCCCCCCCCCCCACTCCCTCGACTGCTCCTCAACGAATTCCTTTGGGAATGCATCTGGGAATAGCCAACCTCAGCTCACCTCACTCGCCTGCGGCCATCCCTCGCGGACATCACGCAGTGGTTCTTGGCTGCCCGCGCCTGGTCGTTTGGCCAGCGAGCCCAGGCTTTCGAGCTGCCTCTTATACTTGCCTGGGTATGAGACATCGCACACGGCCTGGATGACTGCCTCTTTGACCACTTCGTCACGTGGGTCGAGCTCGTCGTATCTTGATACTGGTGTGTCTGCTGCTGCTGACCCATTGGAGCCAGTAGCAGGTTGAGCAACAGCAGCGCCGCCGCCGCCAGTCTTGCCCGTCTCCATGGGCGTTGGGATCTTGAGCTCGAACTCCTTATTCTTATCCGCCGCCAGCTCGAGGTGCGTGCCTGCATCGATGCCGATGCGACCTCCGTAGTTATGAAGACACTTCTCCATGATTTCCAGCATGGCATATCTCATGCTTGGGCTCCATCGCTTCACCGGCTTGGGGGAGCATCTGAAACAACGTTGGCGGCCTGCGCCTTCCTGCTGTGTTCCTCGATCTCCGCCACGCTCTCCCCGTGCTCGAGCAGCTGCTCGTGCCCCTCGTCGACGAGCCCGCGCTCGCCTGCCGCGAGGCCTGCCGTGCCGCCTCGGCGCCTCTGCAGGGACCCCCCGTCGACCTGCATGCTTGGGCTTCTGCCTGCTGGCGACCTCCCTGGACGGATCCGGCGGCCGCACCTCCTCCGACCTCTCGAGAGAGCAGACTCGCCCCTCCTCCTCCTCCTCCTCCTCCTCCTCCTCCTCCTCCTCCTCCTCCGACCTCTCGAGAGCAGGCTCGTTGGAGAGTGGCGTGCCCCTCCGCCGCGCCCCGGCGCCTGCGGCAGCGCGACGAGCTGCTCTGCCGGCAGCGTGGTGGGGCCGAACCCCTTCTCACCGGGCTTGGGCGGGCCCTCGGGCCGCCGGGTTTGGTGGTGGCTGCCTCTCTGCTCGCTGCGGTCCCTGCCCCGTGGCCTTCTTCTGTGCTTGCAGGAGACTGTTTCTTGAACGGTCCGGCGATCACCCAGGTCATCGGGCTCGCCCCCCCTACCCCCCCCCAGGATAGCCGAACCTGGCCGGTTGTGCAGGTCCAGGGGGGGCGCAGCGAACTCGGAGGGAGCGCTGTGTTCAGCGGTGCGCGCGGGCATATGCAAGGCTGCCCACAGCGCGAAGGTTAGGTCATCGGCCGCCCCCCCCCCCATCCCCGGATAACCCGGATTATCGCCGATAAGAAAGAAACGGTCTCCAGCACCGTCTGAGGGGCACGGCTTTCACACTCGCGGCACGAGGACCTGAAGATGGGAAGCTGGGGAGGCCACACGGCCGGCATCCCCAGGCCTTCCTCGGGGTCTGCCGCGGTGCTCCATCTTGGGCCACGCACCCGTTTTTGGCTCTGGCCGGCTGCTCCACTTCCGAGCGCGCTGGCCAAAAAGTGTCGCTCGAACAGTTCGAGACCTGGGAGTGGCTGGGAATGGGAGGAGGAGCCAGAAGAGGGTGGGGAGGAGCAGCGAGAGACGAAGGAGGGGGGGCGGAATGGGGGAGATGATCAATGACCAAACTTCCAGGTCTGCGAGCGGGCCGCCTTTGAACAGTCCCTGTGCCGAGGATGGATTGCCAAGGGAGGACACCCGTCGCCTGGGGAAGCCCCAGTTCACAGCCTCTTGCCGTGAGTGGCGTGAACGAGGGCGCGTCCTGGCTAGCAGCCCACACTGGGACTGTTCAGGAGTGGCGCCCTGCACCGGGCGGTGCCGGGGCCGGGGCCGGGGCCA